AATGCATCTACTCTGAGGGCTTTTGGCTGTCCCAGTGAGAGGTGTTTTCTGGTGAGTGGTACATTGCAATGGCAATTGATTACTCTGGGAAGAAGATAACCAGTATGTTTGTTACATTTCCCCTTATAAAATGTCCCAAAACTTCTCATTTATCTTTGTAACCTCTCAGCTGGTGACACAAGGCAGGAAGACTGATGTGAAGCTGGGGGTGGTGGCAAAGAGAAGACACAATGGCACAGAGATTGCATTTGAAGATACAAAAAGGTGTAAAGCAAGGAGAAAAGACTGGAAATTACTTTGTTAAATGTGTTGGAAGTCTAGGTAGGATGGTACAACAAGAAGGGGAGGGATTCAGTTGCAGGAGCCTGCTGAAAGACACATGCAGGAAGCAGGTTGGACCAAACACCACAAGAGAGATTTTGTTGGGACAAATGCAGTGATTTTGCTTTGACATTAGGAAATCCAGGCAGCAGCACTGTGCTGGGGGTGAATGAGAAGCAGCAGCAAGAGAAGGGGAAAGGGGGACAGCCTGAGCCCTGTGCAGAAACAGCAGGCAGCATTCAGCTGCTGAAAAGGAGACAGATTGTGTACATGCCTGTACATGAAAAGTGGCCATTGCCCTTGTCTTGCTCACCACAGCCCACAAACAGAGCCACGACCATAACAGATCTCAGGCCCCTCACATACAGGATCTTATGCAGGAGTTGCTGCTGTCTGCCAAGGATAGTCATGTTACTTGTTCTAACTAGTGGGGAATTGGAATCTACATTTACAAACATTTTTTAAAAGATATGTCTATCTATTAAACTGAAATAAAATTACTAAAGTTTTAAAAGATGGCTGGCTACCCATGGTCTTTTCCAGATCTGTATTATCCTGCAGCTATTATAAGTTCAGGGAGTGCATCCCTGGCTATCGATTTTTCTGACACCTTTGAATTAACTGAAGGTTAAAGTCTGTCAAGAGAATGTTTAATTCATGTATTTAGCAAGCACAGTTCTTTCATCTGCCCACACAATATGCCAGGAAATATGCTAAATTGGAGCAATACCTCAATCAGGGCTAAAATGAGAAACTGTTTAACAGCAACACTTCTGCCAAGACTGAGAGCAAGTATCAGGATCATCTTTAATTACAAATTCTGCTAGCTGAAGTAATTAAAGAGCTCATTCTGGACTTGCTTCGTGAAGCTACTCTGTGTTATTGAATAGTTGGAATCTCCTCATCCTGGGGATTTGGATTTGCCCTGGATTTCAGTGGTGCCATCAGGAGAACTGGACTCTTCACTGGCTCAGCCAGTTCTTCTACCTGACAAAAGCATAGCTAAGGCAGAAGGAATCAACTCATGACAGGTAATTCCTGCAAGGGAGATATGCAAATGAAAGAACAACCAGGACAATGAAGACAAGCTGGCCACGAATAAAGTTCAGTCAGGATTTGAAAGAAAGTTTCTTTTTTGCTGCAAGAGAAGTAGGATTTTGAGACAACCTTCCAACTAGCAGAGCAGAGCCAAAAAACTGCAGGAAAAAAATATCAACCCAGACCCAATGTTGTGCTTTTAGCTGGAGTTGTGTAGTTTTATGAAACAGGCTCTGTGGCAACAGAAACAGCAGAGGACTTGTCTCTGTAACCCAAGAATGTCCTCAAGGCTGATTATTTAATGCAGACCATGAAATCTGTTGCATTGAAATGCCATCTCCTCCATAGGTTCCAGTAGGTATAAGTGGGTTTGATGGATACTCACACTTTGCTCAGAGCAAGAATGTTCCAAAGGACATGAAATGGCCACTTAGGGCTTAAGTATCATAGTCCAGCTGGAGCAGCACTGATGCTACAGCAATTTACCTTAATGACTAAAGAGCATATTTCACAGCAATGCTGTATAGCTCTTCCAACCTAAAAGCCCTTTCATAGCTTAAACTCAAATTTATGCCACTCACAGAATACATCTAAAAGAAAAAAAGACATATCCTTCAAAATCAGGAATAAAAACAGAGGATTTGTAGCTACGAAAACCCAAAGATTAAAATGTGCAGAAGGAATATTATACCAAGAGTGCCAGTGATTATAGAAGTCTCATAGTAGGGAGATCATTTCCTTGGGGGTCAGCAGTGAAAGCCATTAAACAGACATCACCAGGTGCAGAGTGGTAGGGCAGCAGCAGGATGGCCAGACTGCAGCACCAGTAAGAGGCAGTGCTTGTGGGACCACAGCCATCTCAGCAAGCAGCATTCCTGTCTTTTGGAGATGGCACACGGCTGTGCCACTGTTCCAGGCAGGTGATATCACCAAAGGACTCTGCAAGGGCTATTCCCAGCAGACAGACCTTAGGCAATAGCTGAAAGAGAACAATATGGGTGTGTGGGCAAAGAAAACTGAAGCAGAAAAGCCAGAGCCCCATCCAGATACAGCTTTAATTAGAAAATCCACAATTAAATGACAAAGGTTATGTATCTGAACACATTAGTGTGCTGCTCATTTTACGTTCAAGAGTGATTCGGCTTTCTTAATTCTCACACCTGACAGGCTGACCTCTTCACATCCACATTCTTCCTGCTTCCCTCCGTTAGGCAGATAAAACTGTGAAATTCAGAGAATCTAAGGAAAAAAGAAGGGAAGGGCTGTTAGCCTTAACATCAGGCTCCATGAGGTGAATTTTTCAAATGAAGGATGGACTGGTGCTTATGTGCTGCAGACAGCAGCAGCACCCACACCATGTCCAGCACTGTGTGTGCTTTGCCCTGTGAAAGAGAAGTTGACACACAAATTGGCAGGAAAGAAGGAAAACTGGCTGAGGCAATCTTGGAAATGCATGCAGAAAACATGAAATCTGAGAGTTACCCTTTTCCCATTGGGAAGCTGTGAACTGGAAGTGTTTAATGAAGAGCAGCAATGGGGCATCAGCAGCTGGAGAAGCAGAATGGGACAAACCTGAGCTGTTATCTTCAGCAAACCTCACCCACTACAGCTACATATTATTTGCCTGGCCTTGCCCCGAGCTCCTAGCCACCTTCTGCAGGTTTGTCTCCATGCCAGCATTGATCTGCTCCTCACTCCTTCAGTCACACATTGGTGAAACAAATCCCTCATGCCTAGGTGCAGTGGTGGTCTGGTCCTCTTGGAGTCAGAAAAGCAGCCATGCTTTTGTTTGGCATCTGGGGCTAGAAGTCCTCTACACCCTCACTCTGTTATTTAGCTGGGTAGACCCCAAACCTGCAGGTATTCTGGACACATTGCAATTCCCATGCAGCTACCGGGGTTCAAAGCCAATTAACATTTTACAGAATCAGGCTTTGAACCCATCCCAGGTGAAAAGTTCTGCAGTGCTTCCACCTGCAGAGGCTGCCCAAACCAAAGCACCAGGCTGCCACCAAAGCAAGCCACAGCAAGAATAAACTCTTATTTTTTCATTTCATATTTTCATTTTAGCACATACAGCACAGTGCAAATTTCTTTTTGTGAATTACAGTTCTTTATTAGATGAACACAGTTTAATACATAACACATACACAACCTAGGATGCAACATGCTCCCTCCCCTACTGAGTTACAGAATACTGATGCCATGAAGGGGAACACCAGCTCTGCGTTTGTGACCCCACAGGGATGTTACAGATGGCTGGGAGTGGAAGCTTTGCACACAGGTAGGTCTACACAGGACAGGACAACATACATGAGGAAGAGATAAAGATAAGGGAGTAAGCTGGATCTGCCCTGGCTGAAGGACTGCTCTCAAGAAGATGTTGTTTTCCCTCCCAAATTCCTTAGGGAGCAGGAGGGTGAAGCATAGGCCATGATGCAGCTGAAGTCCTGTGGAAAGCAGTGGTGTGTGGTGTCACACGTGGCGCTGCCAGTGAAGGGCCCCTGTGAGAACCTCTGCTCAGGGTGCCAGAGCAAGCTGAGGGCCATTCTGCACTGGGTCTTCCACTCGGGCTCCCTGTGAAGGGTGAACATATAGGGCTCCATCCTCCTCCCACTGTTCGTGCCAAGGGTAGTGAAATCAGTGAAGTTACTGAAAACCAATGAGATTTGGCATTTCCCTGGTGATCACCCCACTCTTGCACTCCTGTGAAGGGCCACAAGGCATTTCAGGGTCCTACTTCTGAACCATGGTAATGCCTGAATAAGACACCTCAAATAAATGGCCTGAGGGTGAAAAAGGACAGGGAGGGACAAGCAAGAAATCCACTGAGAGCTTGGCAGCTACTCTTCATTTCAGTGATAGCACTTGGGCTGCTCAACATTGAAATCAGACACTATTTTAAAGAAAGTGTAAACATGAATTTATGGGCTTTACTCCAGGTTCACTTCCCTTGGAAGGTTTGATGCTAGACAGTCAACAAAAAGGAAAAGAAAATTAAAAAAACAAAGTCACCTAGGAAAAATCAAGAGTTCAGAAGACTCATCAAAAACTGTTTCAGTCTTACAAAGAATGTGCCTTTTGACTCAGGCCTCAAAATAAATGTACTGTATTATTAAAAAAATAGCAATATAGAAACTATGCCTTTCTCAGTTCAAAGTTTAAGCACATCTAAGAAGACCCCACAGAAACAGTCCTCTTTCTGGCAAGGCACTATCCAGTAGTGTGTGGCACAAACAAAAACACCTCTATCAAAGCCACTGATACAGTGAATGTGCGCGTGCACGTCAGCCCACACAGCAACTTTAGCTAGGTACAAAGATTAAGTTTTACTCACACTGCTCTCCATTTCAAAAAGTGGGGTAGTTATAAGTATTAGCTAGAAACTGGGATCATTTGGTTCTTAAGCATAGTTTTATACACCAAAATTTTAAACAGAATTAAGAATTTCCTATCTCTTTCAATAAATGTCTCTAGTTTCCCCAGACCTTTTCAGTTACCTGATAGCTACATATCATTACTACAAAACTGATTTAAAAAATTCCAGATCATCTTGTGTAACAAACTAGAAGTCTACTTGCTTTAATTACAAAAATAAGGCTGTTGTACAACAGTCAAAATTCACATCCAAACATATATACTTTTTTTTTTTTTTTTAAACTAGCTACTTATAATTCAAAAGCACACATTCTAAGGGACTTACACTGCCAATCCATGCAAGCAAGCAGGATATCTTTGGAGCTAGTGTTGTCCTCCATACAACTGACTATGCCCACACACATGCTCTGAAATAAGCCAGGTTTACTTAACAGCTGAAACAAGACTAACTCTCCACTAAACGAGAGCCTTCTATTCTACAATTATCAAAGTTCAAAAGGAGCTTTGTGAAATTAATTTCACCCCTGGAGAAATCAGAGTGTTTTTTCCTTTCACATCAGTAAGCCTGGGGTTTCACACCCAGGATTACTCATGTGTCTATGGTTACACACTTAGGTAAATTTATCAAACCTGGGACTTCAGGCAGTTCTCAAAGTTTACAACATATCAAGTACATGATAAATCCAGGATGGCTTCTCTGTAATCAACTGCAAAATTACATAAATTCATATATCTATTCATTTACAAAGTTAAATATTTAACTTCTTTTTAGGAATAGTTATATTGAATGTGGTGAAGTTAACAATGTACAGCTCCACCTCATGTCATATTCCCTTCCTATAGCGAGGTTCAAGTCTCATGAAAATATGGGATTGGTTACAAGAATGTCACAGTACCTTGACAGAGACAACATAATTCTTAAAAATGCATGTACATACATCAATGCCCATTCAAGATTCCTCTAAAGAAGGTGCTCTGGAAAAGATTTTGACCAGTGAATACAACCACAGACTTCAAATCTGTGTGTGCTCTTGTTCCATCTAGATCTTTAGCTCAGCTGAGCAGCCAGGTTTGTTCAGTCTGGTAAGAAGAAGGCTAAGAGGTGACCCAATGTTAGCCTACAACTATTTTGAGGGCCATTTAGAAAGGAATGGTGCCAATCTCTTCTTGTGACGGCCAAAAAAAAACATTGCAAAGGCAGCAGCCTCAAATTAAAGCCTAGAAGCCAAAGCTGGACTTGAAGAGATTTCAAAGTTTTCACTAGGAAAGCACTGCAGCAATGTCACTGGTTACTTAGAGAGTTATGAGATCTTCAGCTCTGGATATTCTTAATGCTCTGCTAGACAAACCCATATCTGATCCAAGCTAGTGTGGCTCTTCAGCCTGATTTTGACAGTGCCAGACCAGAAAACCTTCAGTTGTCCCTTCCAGCTGACATGTCTGGTATGCTATGATTAGTGATGTTAACAGAGTATGTGATCTGCTTCACAGTGGGGTTTTGTTGTGATAGTATTGCTTTCTGACACTTTTTACAAGTCTGGCTTCCTTCAAACCACACAGTCTGAGTAATTGCAAAGCAGCTTTTCTACACAGTGGCTGCCTTTCATTTGCCCAAATACATAAGGATGTCCACTCTGATGGCACTACCTTGCCAGTATGAAATCACTTGAGTAAAAGCTACATTACAGCATAGCTGTTATTTATGTATCTGGATTTGATTCAAAATGTGTGATGCAATTTTACTTCTGTCTAGAATGCATTTTGTAATGGTCACTGGCAAGTCATGGGCCTAAGTTCTACTATGTGCATCAATGCAGTCCCACTGGAATAATCTCCACTTCCTTTACTTGGCTCCTGTTCCTCAGCTGAACAACCTCACTGGCCTCATTTGGCAAAGCACACACACAGCTTTCTCACTGCCTTTGAGGCACCTCCACATGACCACATCTGGGGATATAACCAGGACAGCAGCTAGGCAAGTTAAGCATGATCTTGGACCATGGTGGAGTGTTAACCATGGGACTGAAACCTTGCTCTCAAAGTATCCCCCTGACCCTCATGTGATTTGTGGTGGAGCTGTGTGTTACTGAAGGTAAACTGAAGTTTTGGCAAAATTTCATTTTAAGACAGTCCAACTATAGAGCTCCAACCTTGGGTGTTAAGACTTTCTCAGTTAAGACATAACTTCATATTATCATTAGCTATGAGACTCCCTTTAGCTCTTCTGAATTCCCCAGTATTGCCACCAAGTGCTTTACTGAACATTTCACCTGCATTTGGAAACACGTCAAAATATTTCACTTTGGCACCTCCTTCGTGGTAGCAATTTGTTTTAAACAGTCAGTTGCAATGTGCATCATTAGACAAATTGAGTCTTCATTAACAAGATTAGCAGCCCATGTCTCTTAAAACAACAATGATCTAGAATAAACATCACAATAAATAAATGTAGAGCAAAAATATGGCAGTTATTGGCTTAGACTGAGATCTCAAGATTGATGCTTTTTACCTTCTGGATCATAGCCAGCACAAGCATCCTAATAACCACCAGCACTTCAACTATCATCATGAGCTAATTTGAACTACAGTAGTGGGAAGAATTAAAAAAGGTAAGGAATATGACAAGCCCTACACTTCCAATCCTTATTCTCAAACATACATGCCTGCTAGAATATCAGGGCCACTTGCAAAATCCAAAGACAAAAGTGAAACATCAACAGTGAGCATTTTTACAATGGAAGATGAGTAGCCCAGCCCTAATCCTATTTCATATGTGTGTTATTAGCTCCACATTATCAGAGAGCACCATCTCATGGCAAGCAGACTACTACTAATGGCATGTTTGCTCTATCACAGTGATCCAGTGGGGAAGCTGTTATGTGCTGAAGAATAAAGTCACTCATTCAGGAATGTGGTTGTTGATACTTCACACGAGCTTTCTACGGTTCTGACTCCTATTGAAAAGAGAAAAAATAAAGAGTATTATTAATTATTATTAACATATTATTAATGTTATTAATACATCCTTATCTCCCATACCTGTGACCTTTGCATATAAGGCGACACTAACCCCAGACCACTTAGGAGCTGAGGATGCATCTCTCTGAAGTACCACCAGACTGAAGCAGTAAGTTTATTGAGACACCCCTCCAGGCCTCCAACACAATATTTTCTAGGAACAGAGCTGCACAGAAGCTGCTATTTCAGATAGTGTTCTGACACAATCTTTTTCCTAGGACAAGTTATCCAATCTACAAGGTGAGGCAGGCTGCCAAAATAACCTGCTTCTGTGGTTCTCTGCTGAGGTTCCTTCCTACTCCTGTCCCTCAAGGGGTCCAGAAATAAATGAATTCCTGACAGAAGAAGAACTCTATAGACACCCAAGAGCTACCACCCAGGCCTGAAACAGTACTAGTACCAAATATAGATATACAGTATCCAAGGAAAGAAAAATCCTCCCCTCTGTGTCTGATCTACTGCCAAATGGTGCACCACAGACTGTGTTTGAACAAGTGTCCAGACTTCCATATGGCAATAAAATTTCCTGTTATACTGCCTTCAACAGAAAGATGCTACCTGGCTTTGTGTTTTGACCTATAGATATGTGTTTGCTAAAAATGAATTCAAAAAAGTTAAATTAAGTTCTGAGTGCTCCAACATTTCAGCATTAAAAAAATTGTTAATGCCTAATGAATAAATGCTGAGCCATTATGCCAGGCTTCAGAAAGTCCAGTGATTAAGATCCCAGTTCTGTCTCCTCTTATAATTAAGCCAGTTGCAATCTTTAAACTTAATTTACCTGCTGTCCCAAATTACTCCCATGTATATGCTTGTTTTCATTTAAAATGCTTTACTTTTCCTTACACCTATCTCAATTACTTCATTAGCATTAAGGTGATATGGACAAGGTATGGATCACAGCAAGGATGCATACAAACACAGAGTTCCATCCCACACAGGGATCAAAGAAAATTCAATCTCAACATCTCAATAATTCCATAAAAAGTCTGCAATACTCCACTAACCTTTGATGCCAAAGTAGGTTTCAGTCCAAGAAAGGAAAATACAGTGTTGCTCTCCTTTGATTCGAAAAAGCCATCATAATCCTAGAGAATTAAAAGAGCAAAAGATGAGTCAACGTTTGTATTCCTATTTTCCTGATTGATATTACCACACCTTGTATTAGACTAAAAAGTGACATGTAATAATGCTCATAAAAATATTGATACTTACCCCTATTCTCCTACCCAAACCTAAAACCTAAACAGAAATGATATCACAAACTACAACCTACAGTGGTGAAGAAAAACACATAAATTCTCTAACTTCAACATCTCCCACTACTCTGACAGAAAAGTATAAGCATGTACTTGCATCAAAAGAAACTCTGTTGTAGGTATATTTTAAAGGTATTTAAGTGCAGAATTTCTCCTAAAACCTTTATGGTGTGCTAGGATGAAGATGCTTTACCAGCATTTCAATAATGATACACTGCTATATCAGTGTGAACTCGGATACTTTGCAGTTGCATAATTATTTAAACAGCCTCAGCCCTCCCAAAAACACAACCATAGCTGCACAAGGGCAGCTCCTCAGCCTAACCCCCTATACTAAAAGCACCTGTGAAAGGCACCAAGAAGCCAGCAGGAGCATATAATGGTCCTCAGGCCTCAGATATATTAGCTGACAGAAGTAGAAAGAGTAAACCCTCTTAAGATGACTTTTTGTTGTTTTCTTCTTAAAACATGGCATATGCTAACTTAGGAATTAACAAAAATTTACAAGTAATTGCCAGAAAGCAAATCCAAGTAAAACAGGCAAATCAACTAAGCCATGGTGTAAACTGAAAGATTACTGAAAGGATTCCCAACAGTGCCATGGATTAAAAAGGGACAATATAATCATTGAATACCTAGAGGAGTAGTAAGTAATACTGAAGCTCTGCAGAAGGATGTCAGATTAAGCCCTTGACCTCTAAGAAGGAGACTTCAAAAGCTGCATGGACACTATTAAACCTTAAAAAGGTCTGTTCTGACTCTCCTAAAGTAGATGAAAACCCATGAGGGATAAGGCTATATAAGCAACACACGGGAAGACAGTGTGTGATCTACCTGAGAAATAACCTTACTTTGCTCCACGGGGCTCATCAACAAGCGAGTCACACTGTCTCTGGGGCTGAAGGTAGGGCAGCAGTGGATGAGTACAACCCACAGCAAGAAGGACCCTTTCTTTAACATCAGGGCTGACCCAAACTGACTGAAGATGCCCATTACAACCCTGTAAACTACCAGCAGACAACCTGTGGGCATGCAGCCATTGTGGCAGACAAGGGATCCCCACCAGGAATACTTTTTGGGTCCCCACCAGGAATACTCTCCCTCCTAAGCACCACAGGCAGTCTTCACTAACCTCCAGACACTTCTTTGTCTCAACAGTTTGTCCAAAGAAGGTTCTATGTTTGTTTGGGTGACTCATCATCTCTCAGCACCATTTCCAAGTTCTGGGGTTCTCCTGGAGTCTCTCAATCCCAGTAGTTCAGTTAGCTCTAGAAGTATCACTATTCTAAGACCATGGTTTTTACACTATTTGTTAATAAACTGGTAAGAAAAGAAAGCAGGAAAATGACTAAAAATAATGTCATAAGAAAAAGGGCCACACTCCTGGCTCAGACAATGACTGACACTCAGTTAATCCACCAAAATCTGTTTTTGAACATCTGTTTAACCTAACCTCCGTAAAGTAATTTAATACTTAATGATAAAAAGCTTTCTTCAAGTACTAGCTATCATTTTACTTTCAGAATTACCAAGTCCTGACTTGGTATGTTTTTTCCACATTTTTACTGATTACCAAACCTGGATTCACTTAATGAAAAAATTGTGAAGGTTAAGCGGCAAGCTAAACTGAGTCAGTCTGTGTTTGAAAGCACACAAAACCCAGTGGGGATTGATTCATTTTAAAAGGACCTGAATATTTAAGAACCACAAGAGATTATCCACCAGAAGCAATCTCCCTGATGTTTTGAAATATCTGCATTGCAAAATGTATTTAAATGCTATTGAAACTTACTTTCATGGGTGGTGGGGGAGAAAAAGCATAATGCTTTTAGATAAAGTAGAAGTAAATTTTAAATAGGAGAATTTTCCTAGTGATGTCTGCAATTACAACATATGATCTCAAAATATTCAAATGCGAAACAAAAAATGTTACAAAAAAGCATAACAGTCCTATAAAAATTTTAAGAAATCACTTTGGCACAGTAATTTCTTAAGAGATTATTGTGAAGTATGATCTCAATGACGCAATGGCTGTGTCATAAGTGGTAGGAGTTCAAAGTGGGCATCCCCAGCTTTTCCTGTAACACAGGCGAGATAAAAGATGTTCCAAAAACACCCTGCCTTTGATCTTACCATTAGAAGGGGAGGAAATCTGTGCAGATTTGGGCCACATGTAAAGACACTAAATCCATGAGTGAGGACATAAAAATTCTTATTGCAATAAAAAACATCACACTGCTACCAGCAGTAGATGCAGAGGCTGAAGAGGGAAAACAGCACAAGCTCAGTGAAAACGAGAATTTCATATCCAGGCAGGAGCCCAACTCACTGGTGACCCAATGGGTTCCATTTGGAAAAGTTCTGTGGGACATTCTGCCTCCCACAGAGGTTCATTCACTGGTTTTGGCAAGGCAGTGGTTCCCTCTTTCTTGCACCACTCTTCACCACCAGCAAAAGCAGCAAGTTACTACAACCTTCTTGTCACTGTCCCAAGCAGCTCTGCCCCAGGAGCACTGTGGCTTTGCTGGGATCAGTGGAGCAGTGCTGTCCTGTTCCTGTGCAAGAAGTGGCTCCCATTGTCAATGGGAGGCACTCTGAGAGCAGCTGCTAACCTAAAAATATACAAGTATGGCAAACTGCTACCCACTGCCCTACTTCAAAGGCAACTATGTGTACAAATATAATTTTAACTGTAGCATTTTAAATCATGAAACTTGGTGCTTACCAGAGCTGCTAGCCACACTTCATTAATGTATAGAATTCTGGCAACATCGGTAGTTGATTAAAACTGATTAAAAACTGAGTACTAAAACTAGTAGGACATGGAGACAGTGGATATGAATCGTCAGCAATGCAGAGATGCTCAGTCCCTCTGGAGAACTTGAAAAGCCAAAAAACAGATGATAAATCCTATGACTGAGGGTATGAAATGTTAAAAAAAAAGGACAAATGCCAGTTAGGAGGAAAAAGTACATCTCAGAATGGTTTAAAGGGACAAAGAAGGGATAGGAGGATAAAGAAGGTGAGTAAAAAGCTATTTCAAGGGACAATGGGCCTTTTAACAAGTTAACAACTAGCTGACTGCTTTAGACGTGGTTCCTCACCCTTAAAGTTGGTGGCAGGTCCATCACCCACCACATAACTGGAGCAGGATACAGCCTCTCTGTTTTAACACCACAACAGTTGCAGCATTCAATATGCTCAATGAGCTGCTGTGGAGTGGATTAGCTGACCTAATAAGCTCTTGCTTTGTTGAAAATAAACTGAAGCCACTGCAGGTGAACTACTTGCCTGCAGCTCACCTATAAACAAGCAAAATCTTGTTGGCCTTGTATGGCCTAAAGCTCTGCTTTGCTTTCCCAGCTCCTGCTGAGTGACTAAACTGGGATAGAGAGACAAGCTTTGGCTGCAAAGGTCTTCAGGACCAAAGTTACCCCAGAGGGTAATGTCAGGAAGGCGAGGAAGGCTGTGAAGCTCACTGTGGTGGCAGGATGCTTGGTAGTAGATGTGTTAGTGAGCATACGGAATGCATTTCCACAGCATAATGGAGATGTTAAAAGTTTCCACCACAAGGCTCCATGAAATAAAAATGTAGTAAGAATTACTAAATATGCTAAAGTGGCATTTATTTCAGAAAAATAACTAGAGACAAGGAAAATACTCAACCACTTTATATCTTGACTTGTTTGCAGTCTTTCCTAGGCTTAAGGTCACTGTTGGGACAAAACTAGGCTTGATGGACCTTCAGTCTCACAAATATAAGGCCATTTATGCCAATCTTAAGGTGTATCATACACTAGGTTTTAAAATTAACATGGAATCAGAGAATGACTTGGGCTGGAAGGGACCTCAAAGATCATCTAGTTCTAACCCCCCATAATCAGCAAAGCCATGTGGTGTTGTCTATTAAGTATGATGGTAAAAGAAAAAAAAGAAAAGAAAACAAAAAACAACCCAAGCCTCCAAGCCTCACACTCCCACAGCTTCATTTTTAAAATTTGAATCTTTGCAGTTTATCTTGGAAATAAAAGGTGCTATGGCTGCTTTGCACCTCTTTAAAACCAGATTAATCAAAGACAGGAGAACTTTGTTAATGTCTACATTGTGCAGTAATCCCAAAGACCATTGACTGCCCAAATGTTATATAAATGTTATATAAATGTTATATAAAACTAACATCAGTTTACTCTTTGAGACACTGGACAAGCATTCAGGAAATCTGACACAAATGCCTTAGGTTCTTCTGGCCTTCATGTGGGTTTTATGCCATTTTACTCCAGTAGGAAAACCACTGGTCCTTGGGAATTCTCTCCTCTTTAGAAATCCCACTTTCAGGGTAGGTTCTTCTCTCAACAGCAACAGCCTAGTTCACATAGCTCAAGGTGGCTACAGGATTAGCTGCATTCCAGCTGTGATGATTGCTAGACCTTAAGTGTGATGTATTCCTGGTGCTGGGAAACCAGATCACTGCAGTGGTGTGATTACAGACACTGCCATAATTAATTTGGCTCAGGATTTTGTTAAGCAGGTATACTCAGGATTGTTTAAATAAACACTGTCACTGCTAGGAGAAACTATTTACTGCACACCAAAGTTAAAATTGGCAGTACTGCAGATCAGCATAAATAATTATTTGGGCTTCAAAGAATATAACAGAAGCGTGAAGGCATTGGATCAAAGTAAAACACTAACACAGAGTAGATTTACAATTAGCAATTTTACCTTCACTGCTGCACCAAGATTAGGAGAACATTACATCTAATGAACTTTCAAAGACAGCAACTGTGAATAAAATTCTTTACAGAAAGTTTCTTTAAACAAGCATGTTG